GGGGACCCCCCTCCCCCCGCCCCCCGAGTGCACAAATTTTTGTGCACCGGGCCTCTAGTATAGATATAAAACCCTAATATGCAAATGGACTGAACGACGGAACAACCGAACAACCGGCGGCTATGACGTGCGCTGACCACCAGGGGGCATGTGCGGAACATGCAGAAGGCCGCAGAGCGCAGAACATGGCAGGCATCAGCTGTGGCAGGATGGTGGAGCAGGTGAGCAGGGGCGCCAGACCAAGGCAGGGCTCACCTCTGGTGGTTACTGAAAATTCTTTGCTTCCACATGCTGCGGTCCTGTCTGGTGCTCGCACCTGCTGCTGGCACCAGAGCCACTGCTCGCACCCGCTGCTGGCACCCAGTGCTGATCCCGATTGCTCAGCGCCGTCAGTGGGTGCAAGCGGCGGCTGCTGGCCCTGATCGCACCTGAGGGCTTCTCTACCTCACCCTGCTCCTGAGGGGCAATCAGGGCAGCAGCTGCCACTCACATCTGCTGATGGCACCGGCTCACACCGATGCTGGCGCCGGCCCCAATCACTCCGCGCTGTCAGTGGGTGCAAGTGGGGCTGGTGCCATGATTGCATGGGAGCAGTGGCAGTGGGAGCGGGGCTGCTGGCAGAGAGGGGACTGGGGGCTGAGGCCGGAGGCGCTGAGGACGGGCTAAGACCCACCCCTGTGCCCACCACAGCCTCGCAGCCCACAGTTCCTTTCAAGGTGCACAAATTTGTGCACTGAGCCCCTAGTAACAAATAATGAGTGTAGGTTCCATGGCCCCTCAAAAAATGTGTTCATGCTAACTTACAAGAGTTACAAACTGCACACCAGGAAGCCAAGGTCTGTGACTTTTCATCGGCTTCTAAAGTTCACTCACCATCTTCTTGATTCATATGCACTCACCAATCAGGGGTCAATTTACAACAAACTATAATGCTTGAAAACATTCTATATTTATTAAGTTTCTAGTAAATGAATTCAAGGGAAGGAAAACCCAAGATCATCTTCCATGAATAAAAGGGCTCAGATCTGCTATTAACTCTGAACTTAAAGCAGTGATTCTCAAATGAGGGCAATTTTGCCTTACAGGGAACATGTAGTAATGTTTGAAGACATATTGAGTTGTCATAACTGGAGGGTGTGTGTGTACTGCTGGCACCTAGTGGGTAGATGGCAGGGATGCTGCTCAACATTCTACGATGCACAGGATAGCTCCTCACAATGAAGAATTTTCTAGCCCTAAATGTCAATAAACTTATGGTTAAGAAACCCTGACCTAGGATTACATGGAAGATCACGTACTGAACACTGAGGACCATCCCACTTCTCAAGCCTTCTTTTCCCAATGGGCTGCTAAAGCACTGGGAGCCGGCATATGCCCTCCAGGAAAGGCTGGAAGAATCTGCTTTGGAGAAAGACCTCAGAATGATCCTAGCGTAAAGATTCCAAAAGATAGAAACAATTTAAGATGAAATTAGTAGAATACTAATTTTGTTTGAACTAAGTATGAAATTTCATCAACTGGGAGAAAGGTTGGAGTTGAAGGGCAGAAACTGTGTGTGTGTATACACAGCAGTGTTTTTTACAACTCTTATAGAACCATTTGACTCTTTGAGCTCCACGCTTACCAAACTAATGTTTTTTTAAAAATTGTGTATGAGTGTGGGAATAAGGATTTGGGACCTAGTAATAGACTCCCTTAGTTTTCTTGGCTTGAATCAGAACAAACGACATCCAGAAAAAGTATACTTTTTTACATTTCTGTGCAATTCCAAAAGAAGCAAATTACTTTTCTACCCATCTGGGCAAGGCAAAAAGAACAGGCTGAATAGAGAAGACCTTAACTCCCTTTCTCGTATGATTCTTCATTTACTCACCAAACCTTGTATTAAAGCCGTACGTTAAACATAAAACCACTGAACGTTGGTTTCCTTGCTCATGGATACCACTGGATACCATGTGAAGTGTTTGCTGAGAGAGGACTTTTCACTTCATTTGCTCTTTTATTGTTTGAAGTTTTATAATAAGGGTATGTTATAGATGGACACACATACATACACACACACACACACACACACCCTGGATGATTAACCTGTTTCCATGCATCTTGACTCAATTAAAAATAATCTGATTGGAAAGAAGGAATATCAATATATAAAACACAGGAAAACCAAGAAAGCACATCCCCAGTAAAATATTGATCATTTCCCAATAGGTAAATCTAAAATACATAAATGACACATATTAATAAATAGCTGGTGCTAAATGTAATCCCCAGGTATCATAAGGTAGAAATCAGTTCTAAAGTTCTCTACAGAATATCTATCACTTTAAGTTTCATTTTAAATAAATGTTTATTCTTTAAACTGAAATATTTCCTTAGAAGCAATAAAACTCATTTATCTCCAAACCACCATGATAAAGTGACATATTTCCTTAGAAACAATAAAAGTCGTTTATCTCCAAACCTCCTTTGTGCTCCACATTACCTAGAACAAAGCTAGGTAAATGGAGTTGCCGAGTGATGAAAAGTAATCTAATAAATTAAATCAATGGGGGGAAAATCAATACTGTCAATAGGTGTAAATTTTACATTTCTGTGCAATTCCTTAAACAATGTTTTATAAGGTTTACTTTTGATTTTTCATGAATAGATTATTTTACCTTTTTTAGAGGACATTGTAAATACAAAGTGAAGGGAAGGCTGGTTTTATTTTTGCTACCCTATAACAAAATTGCCTTCTTGATGAAAAAAAAAAAAACCACAAGAATTCACCTTCAGTAAAACTAAACTCAGTTTTTTCCAAACTTATTTTTATCACAAATCTATTCTTTATCCTCATCCTTCATCAAGAAAAACTTCATCTTTAAAAATCTGTTCATGTATATTATATCCTTTTGACTCTGAACCACTGAACAAGAAGACAGACCATGTACTATTAGCTCCCTCTTACTTTGAGAAATTGATGTTCACAGATGTTGGATAAACTCATTTAGGTTCTATGGATAGTGAGTGGCAAACACTTGGAACTGAGTTTTCTGATTCCAAGCCCAGTGGCTCTTTGCACTATACCACACCGACTCTTTCATAATAAAGTTCAGTGAACCCTAAAAACTAGAATCTTGGAGGACTACAATGGGAATATGGGTCTTAAGAAATTTCTTAAGTTGTTAATTTATAATAAATACATATTAAGCAATTATTATCAGCTTACGAGCCATACTAACTTTGCAAATGTCCAAAAAAAACCACATTTTGAGATTTTTGTGGGTTTTTTTTTCCTTTAAAATATATTTTTATTGATTTCAGAGAGGAAGGGGGAGGGAGGAGATAGAAAGAAACATCAATGATGAGAGAGAATCATTGATCAGCTGCCTCCTGCATGCCCCCCTACTGGGGATCGAGCCCGCAACCCGGGCATGCGCTACCCTGATCTGGAATCAAACCATGACCTCCTGGTTCATAGCTCAACCACTGAACCATGCTGGCAGGGTATATTTCAAGTTTTTTTTTTATTAATGTGAAACAAGTAACATCAATTCAAACACTTCAAAATAGTCACAAGAATAAAAATGAAGAAACTAAATATCCTCTTATTCTTCTTTGTGACATTGCCATAGTTGGTAATATACTCCTTTTGCAATGATTTTAAAACTTAGCTCAGAGGTATCCTTGATAAGTTTTAAATGTAGAGAAAATAAGAAAGTTATTTAAAACTATATTTAAAAACTAGTTTTCTATTTTATTACTAAAATAGCAAAAAAAAAAAAAAAAAATTTCATCTACCTACCTCAGTAATTGGCTGCCCCTGATGTGTCAACTCCAGTTCTTGAGGGCGCGTTACTTTATCAATATCCAAAGAGTCCATGCTGGAAGCTGCAGAAGTGATGCTGGAGCGAGAGGAGTTACTCATAGAGCGCACTTCAGCATCACTCACCGTGCCTGCTGATGCCGTTCTTCTGTGCTGATTAGTTACTAAGGGCTTAGCATCCTCTAGTACAGATTGCTGAGCAGCCTCATCCATGCTCAAAGAGGCCTGGTCTAACTGTGCAGTAATATCATCCAGGGAGTAGTTGGCATGTGATGGTTTAGTAATCCTATTAGATGAAGAAGACAATCCTTTCAAGGTGCCATGTTTTGTTGTATGTCGGCTAGGAGGTAATTTCTGAGAGGCTTTTGTTTCTGTGATTTGACGCTTACTATTGCCTGCACCGATACTGCTGAGCTCCCGCTCTATTGAGCAAAGATCGGCCATCAGGGCATCCAGATCCACAGTTTCTCCCTGACTCAGAGCTTCTGCAATGAACAATATACATGATGTTTCCAGAACAACTGAATCAGAATGTATACATTCTATTATAAATCAGTTAATGAATGCAGGGAAAGCAGCAAAAAAATTCATTCTATTGATCCTAAAGCCTCTCAAATATAGTATTTCTAACAAGTTTTTAAGAGAAATTTTTAGAAGCAAACAGTCCATCTTTTAAGATTTTTAGCCATCAGAGAACACAACTATAAGTTGAAAGTAAAAATAATGTAAAAATTGTACACCGTTCCTAGTTTTAACCTCATCCATAATGCAACTTTTTGTTTTGTTTTGTTGTGTTTTTTTTAAATATATTTTATTGATTTTTTACAGAGAGGAAGGGAGAGGGATAGAGAGTTAGAAACATCGATGAGAGAGAAACATCCATCAGCTGCCTCCTGCACACTCCCCACTGGGGATGTGCCCGCAACCAAGGTACATGCCCTTGACTGGAATCGAACCTGGGACCCTTGAGTCCACAGGCTGACGCTCTATGCACTGAGCCAAACCGGTCAGGGCCATAATGCAACTTTTTATCAGAGGATCTAAGTTGTCAATATTATCAGTGCCCTGGTAGAGATGTTACCTAAAAAGTTGAGGGCATAAAGAGAAATCTAAGGCTTAAAAAATTACAGATTGAAATATCAATTTCAAACACTATAAAGTTGACTCGGTAGAGGGCATTAAAGAAAGGCCAAAGGGCTGATTTTAAAATTACTAACAACTAACTTCACTGGACTTTAGGTTCCACCTGAGTATATACTTTGCAATTATTAATAACTCAACTAGAAAACTATTTTAGTTATGTTCCAGTTTGTTTTTTTCTGTGATCATTTGAAATAGTAATAAACAAATCAAGAAATATAAGAACTCAGTCAAGTTATGCATATCATTTCTATGTTGAGCTACTTGGTATTGTAGCTGCACTGCTCTTACATTATATAATTTAGTACACTATTTTACATTTTATTTCCAATTACATCTTACCATTCAAGTTGTATATGGAGAAGCGGTAAGAAAAATTGGCCATGTTTGTTTCTTGGCGAAGAGGAGATCGTTTTACTGGTTCCATGGGCTTGTCAGAATCCAAACTCTTTAAAAAGAAATAAGAAAATTTGATAAGTCATATTATATCCACACTTAAATTATATAAAAAGATACAGTTTGCCCTGGCCTGTTTGGCTCAGTGGATAGAGCATTAGCCTGTGGACCAAAGGGTCCTGGGTTTGATTCCAGGCAAGGGAACATATCTTGGTTGCAGGCTACTCCCAGGCCCAGGCCCTGGTGGGGCTCATGCAGGAGGCGACCAATCGATGTGTTTCTGTCACATTGATGTTTCTCTCTGTCTTTCCCTCTCTCTTCCACTCTCCCTAAAAATCAATGGAAAAATATCCTCGGGAGATGATTAACCACCACAACAAAAAAAGATACAGTTTGTTTTATGATTAAGTGAATTGTTATAGAATAGGTAATAAAACCAAAGTTTTTGTTTTCATATTATTTTGGTTATACTTTTTTAAATTTTTAGATAATAATCTTACTGAAGGCACTTGAGAATGTCATACATCTTTTTCCAAATACATCAAGTATAGAGACTAAGTTCATATTACATAAATTCACTATAAAATAGTTATATGAATATGGGCATGGTAAGATAAATAGGAAGAAATGATGCAGATAATTCTGTTATCTCTTCCTTCAAAGTAATTTGTTTTAGATCCAGCATAGCATCCTTCCTGGCATGAGGGACCCTGAAGAAACGGTACATTTCTAGACTCAAAATTAGTGTCACTCAAGATCTTAACAGAGTAGCTACAACTTTAAAAAATAATTAAATATCGTTGTTCTTTTCAAATTCTATGAGGGCACACTGTAACCCAGCTACACTGCTTGTGCAAAGTCTAGAATTATACTATACTTCATGTTTGGGTATCTTGTAAGTTATCTCACCACCTTTTAAAATGATACTTTTTCTAACCTTTCTATAATAAGGAAAATAAGATGTTTACAACAGAGAAATTCAGGGTAAAGGTAGGTAGATATACAGCATTTATTTAAATAAATTTACAAATATTGGGATTAGTCTTTTAAAACTTTAGTCTCTACCTATAATTATCAAATAGATTTCAAATAAAGGAGAATGCTGGAGAGTAGAATCGTGGAATTAAAGTAGAATGCTATCTTCTTTATTAATTTATCTCAAGATAAAACAAATCCATTCAGAAAGTGTCCATACTGGTTTTAAAACTATCATATGAAGGACATTTATGACCATTCAGTGCCTTATTTCAAAACTGCACAAAACAGCCAGGAAATTGTCCTTTAATCTCAAACATAAGTCTTCTGCTGCAATTTAATCCCTAAGCCTCCTTCTCTCGGTGGAAATGAAGACTAATAGGTAGGTAATGTTTACTGTAAAATAACTTGAATATAATTGAGGACATATTAAAAATCAATCTATTTACCAGTTTAAATAAACAGACATTTGATATAATTGTCTGCTGTGTCCATGCTACTGGGACAACAAGGGAAAGAGAAAGAAATACTGCTTGATGCCAAGAAATTCGTAATCTAGAAGGGTGTTTTTAAACTTTTTTCTGCAGG